CCCTCCAGCCAGTTCCTAACCCAGCACAGAGTGCCCCTGTCCAAGCCGTGGCCTGCCAGCTTTTTCAGAAGTGTGCTGTGGGAGACAGTGTCAAAGGCAGAGTTTCCCACTCTGCCAGGCTTTGTTACTAGGAGTCAGTGGAGATATGAGTTCCTACCTGTGACTGCTGCTTTGCAGCATCAGCAAGGAATCCCACTGCAAACTAAAGATCCTGAGTGACTTGTTCGAGATGCATTTTTCATGACAGATGACCTTAAGGACAAAATCCTACAGCTGTTTTCCCCTGCTGTGCAGAATAACCCCTGTTGCTCAAGGTTAACGGCAATCATCTTGGCCAAACACAGTGTCAGTTCTGGTGTTGTCATGCTTTGGATTAGCAGGCCTGCAAAGCAAGAAAGTACTTCTTCAGAAAGCATCCTGCATTTTCAGAACTTTTAATTTCAAAAAAATTGTGATGCTGCTTAAATGTATCATTTAACAAAAATGTGTAAACTACATTTTTAAATTTAAAAAGAAGGAAATGGTATTCAAATTCTGATAGCAAAAGCTGTGTTACCCAAAGCCAGACTGTGGTAAACAGAAGAAAAGCTGGATTATTTGGGTAATGATTTAATGCAAAGTATTCTGCAGATGCTATGGGAAAATTATCAAAACTTGGGAATCAGGAAAGAGAATAGTGAGGCTCCTTTAAAAAGTAACAGCACTACAAGTTTGAAATTTTCCTACATAGGCAGTTATGGGTTCTGACCAACCGAAATCCTGCACTGTGAAGGACATGTCTTGGGGTCACCTGCCACCACATTTCATTGTCCATTGTATTGTATAAGTCACATTTCTGTTACTGTAGAACTACTTCAGTTGCAACTCCTCTTCCACAGGATAGTTAAGTGCAAATATATATTTCCCCCAGCAGATTCTTCGACAAATACGTGTTTCCCCAGCAGATGCTTCCTACTACCCCTGGATATTGAGTACGGCCAAGTAAGGTATGTACCTAAAGTGGCAGAAAACGCACCATACGTAAAATGTTATTTGGTGTCACATCAACCCCTCTGTCCTTCATTCAACATTGAATCATCTCCCTCATGGAAAAGGTTAGGCTGTATCTCACACCATGTTCTGCCTGGTTTTTAGTAGGACATAGAAAAATGTTTGCTTTTCTTTGTGTGGCATCCACCAGCATTCAAATTGGCATTGTTTCTTCTAGTTATTACTTGTTTAGCTGCAGTGCCACGTTGGACAAAAACCTCTGTGAAGCAACTGTGACTGATCTTTATTTAGCAAGGATCCAGAGGACAACAGATGACCTGTTAAGGTTGGAAAGTATTTTATAGTAGTGAAAAGCCTTCTATAGTGCCTTTCTATCTGAGAAACTTTAACAGCTTTTCATTTGCCTCATTCAAATAACATCAAATCTAACACTGTGACATACACAGAAATTATTGTATCTGTAGGGAGTCTCAGAAAACAGGAGAAATCAATGTCCCAGGACCTACTGAAAGATTGCAACACTTTCAGAAAATTTTGTATGGTTTGCAGATTCACATTTACTAGAATTGCCTTATGCTCTTGTCCACCTAAAGCCCAGAACTATCCTCAGTTTCTTTACCCTCAAAGGCTGGAACTGCCCTCTGCTCCTTTACCCTTTACCCATTAAAAACAAATAACATGATATATCCACAAAACAACGATACCATAAAGACCTTTGGCTCTTGCTAATGGCAGAGCCCAAATCAGATTATTAAAAAAAAAGAAAAAAAATTTTTAAAAGGCTACAAAATAACATTTACCACTACTCCTGCTTTCACTTTCCTTTCTCCTTGAATTCTGCACAGCAGAGTTGAAGTTAGAAACTTAAGTTCTGTTGTCATCATATGCCTATATGACATATGTTAGTAGCAGGAGGAGGAAATGTCATTGAATAATTACAGAAAAATGGCCTGGAAAGATCCTTGGGAGTCCATCCCAATGCTTGGATTGCATCACCCAGACTGAAACTACATCTGAAAAACAGCTGCTTAACAATTTTTAAAAGCCTGTGATTATGAAGGCACTGCAAGCTCCACAGGCAGTCTCATCTAGCACTGTCCATACCACTAGAAAGTCTGTTCTAATGTCTAATATAAGTGGAGAACAGATAATTAATTTCCTCTTTATGGATAACTTTCAGTCTTGAAGTTTATGTTATCCTTTTTTTTGTTTTTAATAAATAAGTCTATTTCTTTCAATCTTTCCTTGCAGATTGTGTTTTGTATCCCTACCCTTATCCTCCTCTTTACAGCCCTCCTGAAATGCACCACACAGCTGGATGTGGTACTCCAGCTGAGGCTTTGCCCCCGACAAACACAATGGAAGGACTATTTAACATCTTTTATTTTTACACATGCCAATAGCACATTGAGTGTTTATTTTTCCAGCAAAGTCATCTGCTGTATGACTGAGAGTATGATGAACTCTTTCTCAGATAGAAAGTGCAAACACTGAAGATGAAAAGGCTGTGCCAGGGCAAAGAGCTGTTGATTCCCATATCCTAGACTTGCTTTCGACACACAGCCAGTGGGACACAAAAAAGCAAGTGGATTATGTAACTAATAACTGTGAAAGTTTCCAAGAGACAAAGGAAGCTCTCCAGTGGTTACAACTAGTGACAAAATGACAAGGCAGTTTGAACAATGCCCATAACCTTCTGCCACTTCACTAACCAGTAGGACACCAGGCAAAACTGTCTTCATCACTGCAGAGACCAGAAGAGAAATGATTTTCAATTGTAAGTAGCAATGTAAACAGTGAAACAGGAATCAGCGCACAAAAAGCAGAACTCTCTGGTAGAATTGTTTGAGGGTGGCCCTCTTTTGCTTAAAAAAGAAACATAAAAAATGTGTAAGGAAATTCAGGAGCAGTAAGGTTAGGGGTCTGGGAATTATTTAATTAAATCCTAGCTCTACACAGCCCATTGGGAAAGAACTGGCTTTTGGACAAAACTGTTGTAAGAGTATGTAATCAGTAGCACATGGATTGTTCAGAGATACGTGAAAAGATGCTGAGCACCAAAGTCAACTACTGATATGACGCAGGTATCAGGCTTAGGGCAGCTTGCCAAAAAATAGTCTACTGGCTGTTGATAAAAGCATTACGTATCTCTTAGTATGAACTGGGTTGAGAATACAAGAAAAGACGTTACTCAGAGGACTCACGCAAAAGTCAGTAGCAGTAACAAAAGTTAAACTGAATTTCTCTTTATTCAGAAGTACACTGTTGAGAACTAGCAGGTACTTAGGAAATGTGATAGGGTGCAAGCTGTAATGTGTGAGCAGGAACTGGTTTGCATCGGAAATAATAAAACCCAGCCACCTGTGGAAGGAGATGGCCAAACTCCAGGAACAATTTAAGGTCAAACTGGAATTAAAGCCTTTCTTAAAAGGAGACAGAAATTGGAGAAGTCAGAAAACTGAAATGACTGCACAAAACCACAAAATCACTCAGTGTTAGAATCGGTCCAAATGATGTGCAAAAAGAAAGAAAGGAGCCGTTTAAAGTTTACCTCAAGTAAGATCCTACCTGCTGTACATATAAAACCTGGAAAGTACTTGATAGTTACTAGGAGTTTCGGAAGGGGGTCTGAACGGGGATACCAGTTCTGAGGTGAGAACCTTGTAGCTACTTTCTGAGGCCTATCTTTTGCAACACTGTGATTGGAACATGAGCTCTGTGGGCTGCCTTAACAACTGAAATGTAAAATTTTTGGGAGGTCTGTAATAGACTTGAATGGTTATAGAGAACTATTTTCATTGTATGAAGCACTTACAGCATACTGGAACACAAATTTTGGATTCTTTATGTTTTATTGAGGGTTGCACATGAGGCCACATTCAGCTTCTTAGTGAGAGCTGAACGGGTATTATCACCTTTCTCCACCAGCCGGTAAGCTTAAATAAAGTTTCTCAGCTGCCAGTCTTGCCCTGAGATTAGTTGCCTTAATATTGCTCCCCTCAGGGAGCAATACTACAGGATGTTTTGACCTTTCAGGGGGTAGGCATGCCATCTACTTGCAAGGCAGCAGAGTGACAGCAGCAGCAGGGCTGCACCGTGGGGGTAGGTCCTACAAATATTCCTGGCAGCTCTTCAGTCAGAAATAGAAAGCACCGAGTGGCCAGAGCACTCTGCCTTTGGAGGCAGCAAAAGAGCTGATTCCAACTGTTTCTAGGAAGTCCTGGGCTCAGAACCAGACTAGTTCTGGTTCTTGTCCAGTCTTCATCGACTGGTCACTGCCACCTACACAGCAGCTGAGACCCATCCTTTTGGTCAGCCCCTGTGTTCCTTCTGGACAGGCACTGGATTTGTATTTACAAAGCAATGTAAAGCTTATGTACTGAATGCATAATTTCAGTATTGATAATAAAAAGAAATATGGTTAGAATTGAACAAAACTAAAAAATAATAAAATAATAATATCACCTGTCTAACTGCTTTGTCAAAAACATTCAGCAGGGTATTTTAGAGAGCAAAGTAGCTCTTTAAGCCCACCTTGTTCCTTTCTGTTCCTCCACACAGCAGGTAGCTAAAGGTTCCTTTGCCGACTCAGGGAAGCTGCGGGGTCGCTGGCAGCACGGGCGCCCATACGACCGTAAACCGAGGGGCAAAATCAGTCCCCTTGTAGTTAATGCTGAGGAGAAACCCTAAGGGGCGAGTGACCTGCTCGTTAATCGGGAGCGGTGAAATACCTGACACAGCCGCTCCAGGGCAGGAACGCTAGTGGAAAACGCTACCCTGTCCCGCCAGCCCAGCAGCCTCCCAAAGCCAGCGGCTAGGGGAGACGTCTGACTGCAAGGTCAGGGTGGTTAATCTTTCCCAAGTTTGTTTACAGGCGGGCTCACCGTCCCCCTCTAGCCGACTACGCCTTTACACCCAACCCTTCCTTCCCCCCTCCCGGCCGGCTCGGCTTCTCGGGCGAGCCCGCCCCGGGGCGGAGCTCCGCGTTCCCCAAAAGCCGCTTCGGAAGCAGGGAGCGGGATCGGGATTTGGATCAGGATTTGGGAGCTGCAGGGATCGGCCCGGCAGGACGCGGGGGTGGAGGAGACCTCGGTGGTGAGTGGGGAGGCGGCAGCTGCTGCCCCTCAGGTCGTGGTGGGGTGGGAGACCATCTTTTGTGTGTAGTTATTTCTACGGTCCTTGTTGCCTCTCTAGAGCCGGATCCATTTTAAGTAGCTAAAACTACTGTAAGCTGAAGTACACCGTGCGCTTAATACGGTGACGATTTTTTAACCAATGTATAATTCGATACGTGACTTTTCAAGCTTGTTCCCCAACAGGGGAATCTCGAGCTATTTAAGCAATGCATTCGTTTATGGAACCCGGGGTTTTGGTTTTATTCCGGTCACGCTGTGGTTAAAAGCAAGCAGACTTGCTTATGACTTTTGCAGAAAGCACATGGATGAATCTCTGTATTAATTCAACCCAGCAAGTATCCCTCTGTCATCACTCAAGTTCAGGGAACAACAATATATGTTTGATAAGGACACTATCTTTTTATAAAACTGAAGACTTTAATTTTTTCTCTAATGATGGCTGGTTTCCCTTTTTAACTAGTTTGCCACTCACTCACCTGGTATGGAATTCTTCTAAGGAGATACTTATTGTTTTTATTGGTATAGGGAAGAAATTCTGAGGAAGAAGCAAACCAAGAATTCGGAAAATGAACGGAAAATGAAACAGCTGAGGTCATGGGACGAAATTACTGGCTGGTGTGTTTTTTGGGTTTTTGGTTTTTTTTTTTCCTCTGTGATCAGCTCTGCCTCTTTGCTTTAATTTCTCCTTCTTCTTCCTACTTCTTTCTAAATTAAGGAAAGCTAGAAGGAAGGATGTAGGATCGAAGTGGAAAGACTCATATAGTTCATTTTCCATACTGGCAGGGGAGGAGACTAGTAGCCTTTCAGAGGTACAGACCTTGACCTTCACCTTGGGATATGTCAAATAAGAATGCCCTGTAAAATTTCTGCATTAGGGTATCCTACGTGGATATTGAAGCTTCAACTAATATTAGTAAATATATGTACAAATTGAAAACTTTATTTGGCAGTGCACAGCATTACAGAGAAAAAGTGCGTAGCCTTCACTGCGTAGACAGAGTGAAATACAAAACAAACAGAAAAAGGATATATTTTACTTTTATCAGTATTGTGGTATTTGTGATAGATGAAACTTTATTTTAGTATATTGGGGCGGAGGGAGTTAACTGCCAGTTTTGACAAGTTTCTCAGAAGCAAAGATCAGTGTGTGGCTGATAGTGGGAAAACCAAGTTTGGCTTTGTCTCTGTTAATTAAATGATCTGTCATTAATCATGGCAGAACAGGAATAAGATGATCTTGGAGCTAGAACTGGCTCCCCTCTATACAGTGCCATCCCCATGTGGCTCTGCTCCATTTGTATGGAAAAGCTGGCATAGTCTGTGCCTGTGGTCCTGACCTCTGTACTGCACTTTTTTGGCAGTATGGAAGGGTGTCCTTAGTTGCCTTTTCCTTGTTTATCTGTTTTTTACATCAGCAGTGTTCTTTGCAGTGGTCTAAAGAGTAAGATGGGTTTCTGTGCACGTAGGTGTTGAGTATTTGAAATTGTGTGCATTGGAGTTTCATCGTACTGTGTGTCAGAAGACCCAGGCAACTCTTCATGAAGTAAAGAATGATAAAAGGAAAACCAGGGCTGCAGAAACTGCTCAGGCATGCTGAGTGTCTGCAACTTCTGAAACTTCATTTAGATGCTGGGTTATTGGCACTTCTAGAGGAAGTGACTAAAGAAGGTTCAGCTGTACAAAAGGCTAACAAAAAGTAACTGGTGCATTTGTGATATTTTCCAGCTGGGCTGTACAGGCGAATAAACAAAATAACAGGGAATGTAAGTGCCAAGGGAAGTACTTTCAAGTACAATTTTCCCATAAAATTAATTGGCAAAAGATAACTGTAGAATCCAATGTTTAGGAGGATATTGTAGAAAATGGGAAAGTATTTATATTAAGAAGAAGGGGAAAAATAAGCTGTGGACAGACCTGCTTGGTTTTGGGAAGGGCAGTCGTGTATTGGCTGGACTGGTTCTATTTTTTCTAAGATAATTTAACATCTTGCAAAGCACATGCCATCGTTAATTATGATTTGTAGTCACATTGTCAAATTTACTTAACTGACCTCTAAGTTAGAGCAGCCTTTTTTATGTACAATGCCTTATATACCTGATTACAGTATTTTCATGTAATGTTCACAAGAACAAATATTGTCAACACCAGTAGCAGAAATAGGTCTTAATGGAAGCAAAATGGCATGTGCACCCTTATTTTCTGTCCCAGTGTACCAGTTCAGCTCATGTTAGTGCTGATAACTGAAAAAAAGGAAGCTTTGTCATGACTGTCTTAAAAGTTCCATTCAAGTGCAGGATGTAGCCAAACTAGTTCAGCTTGGTAAAAATCCTTGGAGGCTATTCACTGTAGTGCTCCTTAACATCATGCCTTAGGAGACAAACTGCTTTAACCTTTCATGATAAGGAGAGTGGTGGCCTAAGTACATAGTAGACATTGATTTGAACCCAGATGCCTTTGTACAGTATTCCTGACTTTCTTCTGATTGTCAATCGTATTACATATTTTTTACCCTTAGTAGGTTTGAAAGGCCCATTTTAAACGGAGCAGGCACAAAATTTTATTAAGTGTTAGCATGTATAAGATGTACTTACAGAAGCATAAAATCGCCTTATTTCACAGAAAGAGGAACCTATAATGCCAGCACTAAACTGGAAGCCCTTTATCTATGGAGGTTTAGCATCAGTCACTGCAGAATGTGGTAAGCATTTCCTTTACCTGTTCACATTACTTTTTTATTCAGATAGCATAGAACCAAGCTTGTTTTAAATAGAGACTATCAGTGACAGTAGTATATAGTGGTCTACAGCACAGGAGTTTTTTTGTGTAATGCTGACTGAAGATTTGCTGTGATCTGTGTTACCTTGTGAGAATACTTGTGTCTGTAAACCCTCATCCCTTGTGAGTCTTGTTTTTATACAATTTTTGCCTTTACATTTTATTATTTGATGTTTGTTTGATCTGTTCTTAGTGGTCATGAGTAAATACAGCTTTTGCTTTGCTACAGTAGACAAGCTAGATTTGATTAGATTTGAACAATTAAATTCAGTTTGTGAGCAACATAGAATAATTGCTGTAGTGAGACAGTGCGTCTGATGTTTTAGGCCTGCTCTAAAGACTGACCTAAAATATCTACATCCTTATAAAGTCATATCTGAAATGCATGTACATGAAAATGAAGGAAATGTGGATTTTCATAGTAGCAGAATATAGTTGGGCATGTGGTTGACTTTCATGGGAAGTCTGTCAAGTCAAGTAGATGCAATATAAAATTACACATAAAACTACTATTTTGTTTTCATAGAATCATAGAATAGTTTGGGTTGGAAGGTCCTCTAGTCCAACCTCCCTGCGCTGAGCAGAGATATCTTGAACTATATCAGGTTGCTCAAAGTCTTGTCCAGTCTGACTTTGAATGTTTCCAGGGAAGGGAAGGATTTCTACTTTCTTTATGAAACTTGTGCAACCTTGAGTTTGAAACTTCTCTTATTTGACTTGACTGAACAAGGCCAATAATACTAAAAGTTTTGTAAGGAAGACAAACAGTTCACAAAAGCTTTGTGTGTCTGGTAAACCTTGTTAGAACAGATGTAGTTAATCCTGATTCCTGTTAGTGCTTAGGTCAGTATTGAATGTTGAGGTGGTCCTTTTCCTAAAGATGAGCTCTGGAAGGATATGCTTTCTGAACCCTTTCATAAAGGAAGCATGAAGAGTGTGAACTGAACGTAGCTGTAGGAAAGCAATAACAGAAATAGGTACTGCTGCTCTTGCTTTTTTTTTTTTTTTTTTTTTTTTTTTTTTTTTTTTTTTTTTTTTTTTTTTTTTTTTTTTTTTTTTTTTTTTTTTTTTTTTTTTTTTAGAATCTGTATAGAGTGTCCTGTGGAATTTATTTGCCTTCAATGATGTGCTTTTCAAAGGTGTTGGTAGAATGCACATGCAAACTCTGTACTTGATTGTGATTGTAGTGTCCTATTCAGTGTAACTGTTTACAACCGGGCAATACCATGTTGCCTGAAAGTAAAGTGAATGGAGAATGTAAACACAGGGAGTAGGTAAGGCCTCTGACAAACTTTTAGAAGAAACAAGGTGATACAGCATGAACCACTTGTTTAAAAGAAAGTCTTGTTAAGAGACTTCTTTCCCATGGGAGTATTTTTATATATTTTGGTATATAAGAAAAGTTGCTGTTTCATAAATGATGTTCTTTGTTGTCTCTTGTTAGGTAAGTACTTAATTACTTTTCTCTCTGATTTTCCTTCAAGGTACTTTCCCCATCGATCTGACCAAAACACGTCTCCAGGTTCAAGGTCAGGTTAATGATGCCAAATATAAAGAGATCCGCTACCGTGGAATGGTGCATGCACTAGTCAAAATATGCAGAGAAGAAGGATTGAAAGCCTTATACTCTGGGTAAAATTAACTGACTTGCAGCAATGGCTTATGAACAGTCTGTTGATAAATATAAGCGCATAGTGTGTGAATTTTTGGATTTTAGAATTAGAAGGTATTTGGTTAGCCTTAATCCAGAAGTTGAAAGACCAGGCTAAGATCACTTCAGTGTTTGCACTCTGCAATAGAATTTTGTATTTTAAAAAACTCGTCAAACAAACAACAAAGCCTACTTGGAAAAAATAGCTAAGCATACAGTTATTCTCTACAGTGCTGCTATGGTTGGTCCATCTTGCAGAAGAAAAATTGAATTAACCTTTGTATGTAGATGAACATACTTTTCTTTAAAACACATAGGATGGTGGGGGAATTACATTTCAGACATGCCTGCCAGCTATTTTATAGATCACAAGTTGAGGCATATGGTCTAACAGTAATCCGTACACAGTTCATTCCTGTTCTTGCAGGCTTTATTTAAAACAAACAAACAAAAAAGCTCCAAAGATTGTTTTAAATTGTCTATTTAAATGAATCAGTCTTTCTCTGGTAGGTATCTTGTGTTCAGTCTCTCCTGCTCTAGAAAGTGTCTGCTGATCAGTTTTTTCCATCTTGAGCATAAACATTATCGCTGTTTGTTTTTACAGGATTGCACCTGCAATGCTACGGCAAGCTTCATATGGAACTATAAAAATAGGGACTTATCAGAGCTTAAAAAGAATGTTTGTTGAACGTCCAGAAGGTGAGTTGTTATTTTCCATTTCATTGAGGACTGACTCGCTTGAAGCTGGTTGTTTCCATTTGGTATCTTACTGTAGCAGTTTGAACAAGTCTACTGAGAAGACATTCCTTGTACTAGTTACAACAAAATGAGTCGGCAAGGATAACTTGTCAGAGCGGTTTTTAAGGCTTCTGTAACTGGCACTCTCTGGTTACAGGAGGGGAGGCATCATCCTGCCCTGATGCATCTTAAGATTTGTAAATCTGCAGCTAAACTCTTTCTCTTTGTTTGCAAAATAGATGAAACCCTGATGATAAATGTTCTGTGTGGCATTCTTTCTGGAGTAATCTCATCATCTATTGCCAACCCTACAGATGTCTTAAAGGTAATTATATACAGTTTGTCCTTAGTTTTTGTTCTCTCCTTGAGGAAATGCAGAATCTCCCGATGAATATAGGATTTGTTTTGTAGCCCTATTTATTCTCATCTTTTAACTTTTAAAAAATCAGTAACATCCTGAATTCTTGGAACCTCCTTCTAGTCCATACTAATTATTTGGAATTATGCACGAGGAAACTGAAGGCTGGGGAGGTAGTTGGATACCCATAACTTTTTGTGAGAGAATAATACACGATCATTCTTTTTGACTTTCATGCTGTAGTGTTTGTGTGGAAACCACACTACTTATTTCATCTGTACTTCTTGGTAACACTGTTTTACACTAGGATGTTTCTAAAGCTCAAAATAGGTGGAGATCAATTTAGAGGGAAGAGTTCCAGTGAGTGCTACTTGGACTGTATGATTCTTTAACTCTGTAGAGAGGCTTTGCAATCCTATATTCCATGGAAATAGTGTTCCAGCATCAGTCATTTAAAGCGAATTGGTGAAATGACCATGTCTTTAAAAATCTGTCAGTTTAGCTCAGTTGGTCAGAGCATTGTGATGATAACACCAAGGGTGTAGGTCTGATCCCTGCATGGGCCATTCACTTAACAGTTGGACTCAATGATCCTTGTGGGTCCCTTCCAACTCAGAATATGTGAAGTAATGCCAGTCAGTTACTTGAAACGGTTGATTGTATTTATCTTACAAAACTGGGGCTTGTGACTTAAATAGCTGCTTAAAAAAAAAAAGTCAAGAAAACTTTGTTCTCCCGAAACTACTAAAAAACTTAACCCTTCATAGTGCTATTGTGGTTATGTAGTGGCATTTCAAATATAAGCTTGTATTTCAAGTATGGCTTCAATTAGTTATATCCCAAAATTATGTCCACTTACCAAGTTGCTTGTTGCCAACTTGTACTTGGAAGTTACCGTGGCAGGTTTCCAAGGGCTTTCTTAGAAATTTATAGGGTCAAAGACCATGGTTCTCACTGGCTGAAACATTAATATTTTAACCTTTCATTTCAACGTGTTCCTGTGAGAACACTGTAAAGGGCATCCTGCAAAACCCGTCTGTCAGTCTAAATGATCTAAATGAAGTGTGCCCATACAGAAATAGAAGTGACTTCATGCAGCTAAGAATTCTACCACATACTTGTTCAAAATTAGCAGCTGCATTTGGGTAGTTAAAGCAAAAGATTATGTTATGGTTATGATAATGACAGCTCTTAATTTATATTCAAAAGAAATTGACTTTATTACTTAAAATTGTGACTTAATACCAAAACTGTATTAAGCTATTTTCTTGGTTGTATGTTTGAAAAATGTTTACCTTTTAATTTTGTCTTCAAATGAATCTCAGATCAGAATGCAAGCCCAAGGTAGTGTGATTCAAGGAGGAATGATGGGCAACTTCATACAGATCTACCAAAAGGAAGGCACTAAAGGATTATGGAAGGCAAGTTGTTTTTTTTTTTTTTTTTTTAACTTTATCTTACACTTTAAGTACACTTTCTTGCTCAGTTGAATTTTGTGTATTTCTACAGCGTTCTCAGCTAAATTATGGAGCTAATATGTATGTCATTTGTCATGACTGTTTCACTGCTGGTGTCCCAGTGCTTTTAGATGAAGGGTTACTGCCGGTCTTGTGTTCAAGGATTAGCTGCCACTTAGAAAAGGGAAAATAATTGTAGGCTTCAGTTAGGGTGACTGGCTCTAGGACTAGTTCAACAACTTTTTGCATGACACCTGTATGTTCTGTCTGTTTTAAAACATATACTGAAGAACACTGGACGCAGAGGTACTAATGAACATCCCCTCTATCTCAGGATTCTCATATTCAGTTCATAGATTGCTCTTGTGCCAATTACAGTAAATGACTATATAACAACTGAAGACACAAAATAGACAATTGTTCTGAAAGAGCTGGAAAATAGAAATGTTTTTTCTGTTAGTGTGTTTTTCTCTGCAAAGTTTCATGATCTCCCCTTTTCTGTTCATCTTCCTTACTTCGTCAGTTTTTCAGTTAGCAGCAAAGGAACACAGTTTTTTGGGTTTTAGCTGACTGTGGATGCAAGAACTGAGATATTAAGCAGAGATAGAAAATAGCATAAAGAAAATGAAATCACCATTCCTTGTGGAAAAATGATTTATCTGTTATTTCAGATTTGTGGTTTTGCAGCACACACATCTAAGATTTGTATTAATTAACCTTATTTGAATGAATAATGTCCTTAACACATTTGTGGTGTTGTTTTGTATTATAAGAGCTCAGCTTTTCTGATAATGCACAAAGGTTGACTTCAAACTTCAGCTATATCCTTTCTTTTGCCAGGGAGTATCACTGACAGCACAGAGAGCTGCTATTGTTGTTGGAGTGGAACTGCCTGTGTATGACCTTATCAAGAAGCACATAATTATGTCTGGATTTATGGGAGACACAGTATATACTCACTTCCTGTAAGTTTGTGTAACTGTTTGTGTAGTTCATCATTGGTTAATTCTTGTTATGGGGATGAGTATTTTGATTTATCTGTCATCAGTATAAATGTAAATACCCTTCTGATGTGTATAACTTTTTTAATATAATAACATCTCAAAGGGCAGCATGTAGCATGGAAGCTAATTTTATTTAGGACTTGGATTTAACTTTCTTTTGAAATATGGAAATTTCTTTTGTGAGTGGTCTGAATCATTCAGCTGTGTAAACTGAGGTTAGAATTTGCTAGCAAAGTTCCAGTTAGATATTATTCACAGGGGCACAACATCTGTTCAGGCATACTGTATAAGTGCTGCATAGCAGGTCTTCAAAAAAACACTTTTTATAGTCAATGAAAAGTAATTTTTCAAATCCATTAGCCAATGTAACTTTTAACTGAAAGGATTAAACAGCTATTACTACTGCCTGTTTCCTGAGGAAGGGGAATTCTTGTGCATCTTTAAATGTGGTAGATCAAATGTCATTAAACCTTTCTTTTATTAGCTCAAGTTTTGCTTGTGGATTAGCTGGAGCCCTTGCATCCAACCCAGTTGATGTTGTAAGAACACGCATGATGAATCAGAGAAGCCAACATGGGGGACACTCAAGCTACAAGGGCACTTTGGATTGCTTGTTACAAGTAAGTAATTCATTGTCAACATAAGTACTGCTGCCATCAATCAATGATTTTGGAGTAGAGCTCAGTTTTTCCAGTTCCCTAGAAATTAATCCTTGTAACTTAGGTGTGCTTTTTGCCATAATTCTCGAAGGGAACATACTGGCAGTAATGCACTTGGTGTGGAAAGTATCTACTGTTTACAGAAAGGAAGAAAGTTAGTGTCTGCTACAACTCTTACTTCCTTTTGGTGCTTGGATGAGGAGACTAAGGCTCTCAGTAGCACTCTGTCTTACTAAAATTTGTACAATGCCAGGCTGATAGGAAATGATAATTTTCAGTTCTTGAAGAACAAGATCTGGGACAGATAGTTTTTTTTTTTTCTCTGTTGCATACTGCATAATGGAAAGCCTAGTTAAGCCAGAGGCAAGGTCAGTCTCTGATCTTGATTACTTTGATATGGTTTCTTAAGTCTCTAAATTTGGTACAAGGTGGGAGCATGGCAGTCTTTTACATGGAGAAGAATGGATAGTAAGATATTGGTGTCCAGCTGTTGACTGAACAGTCCAAGTCTCACTGTCCAGCGACAGTGAAATTTTTTGAAGTCCATAAAGCAAACTGAAAAATTTCAAGGGAATGCCTAATGTGAGCTACAGGCTTGCATGCAGAACTCTGCAAGGCTTTTTCTTTTTTGAGTGTAAGTCCAGGAGTGCAATTTGGATTAATTTGCGTTGGGTACTGAATTACACAGACTGCAACTTTACCTACTAGGTAATGCTGCAGGCATTACTAATCTTGGTTTTATGTAGTGAAATTTTTCTTTGTTCCATCATACAGTATGCTTAAATGAAGGTTACAGGACTAAGCCCTTCTCTTTTCTGGTATAGCCCTGTTAGCTGAGATGCTGTGTAGATTTCTCACTAATAAAGAATTACATAAGTATGTTCTTATTCTGTTGTTATGGTTGTTTGTGTTTTTTTTTTTTCCCTAGACATGGAAGAATGAAGGCTTTTTTGCTCTATATAAAGGGTTTTGGCCAAACTGGTTAAGACTTGGTCCTTGGAATATCATTGTATCCTTTTCAAAGGTGTGCCAGACTATGAAGTTAGCCATACAACAACAAGTATTGTTTTTCACAGAATACTCAGTGTGAAAAGTGTCCTGTCAGCACAGACATTCCCTTTTTATGAATAGGAAGTTGTGTAGTTGACAGGTTTTTTTAGTCAACTGCTGCTGGTGAGTTTCACACAGAGGGAGTATTAAAACGTAATCTTGCAAAATAATTCTCTGTTATTCCAGTGTCAACTCTGTCCATTTTCTTAGTTTGGAGCCTCATTTTAAATAAAATTGACCAGATGAGTTAGGAATGGGGACTATTTCCGGAACTGGGGAAACTGTTGGCAATTACTGATGCAGTCTTTTTTTTTTATCTTAGTCTCGCACAATTTTGGTTTTATTTCAAGAGCCAGGTGATCAGAGCCCTGGGAAGTGGGTTGGTAGTAATGTTACTTTGCCATGAACGAACCTCCCATAGCCCCTCAAAGCTGAGATAGGAAAGACTCACAAAAGCCCCTCTAGGGGCTTTTGCAGTATTCTCCTGCATCCTCAGTCCTGTGGAATAGAGATAGGAAAGTAATTGGCATCACCAGCCTTAAAAGCAAGTTTCATTGTTCTGCCTAGTATTGGGTAAAAAAAGTGGTCAACCTGCAGCATGGCATAGGAGGGGAAAAAAGCGTGGAACACAGTTTCACACAGACACAGCTATCCTTTAATAAAGTGACCATTTTGTACTGCATGAACAGGAAACAGTTTTCCTTAATCAGCTGTCCCAGTTCTTTCTGACATATGAACAGCTGAAGAAATTGGATGCCTGACATGCTGAGCTGCATACTGAATTCTGTTAATGTACTGTCTGACTTTAGAGCAATGTCCAAGTTGTCTTGTGTATTTGCTCTTTATTGTCTGAACTGCTGGCCAAAGGAAGAGGTCACTGCAAGACTGTTGAGGGAGAAGAACCTATAAGTGATTTCAAGGCAAACTGGCTCCTGTAACCATGGCTTGTGTGATTCAGTGGATGATGTGCACTATTTTCTAGACTGAACCAAACATGGTGGAATACTGTCAACTGTTTCAGTGTTCTTGAATGAGAAGATCTGTAACACAACTTGATGCTTTTGAGACTCATGCAGTTTTTTTTATAAGAGGCAAAGAACAGGTTTTTTTCTTCTGTATTTATGTAAGGAAAGGAAAAAAATTTGTGAAAAGAAAAATTATTTTTCTTAGAGATAGGCAGTACCAAGGAGCTGGGCTTTTCCTGCTTTCAGAAATATATATGATTTGAGTGTAAAAGCTTAAAGCTTCTAATTAATTGCAAGTGTCACAAGACATCTTTGCAGGCTTTCAGGTCAGCAAAATACCTACTGCAGTGCAAAATCTGCTTCTGATTTTGGAGCTTTTGTGTGTTCTAAATCCTTAGATGTCTGTGTAATCTGCTGGGATAATCCAGCTTCATTTGCAAGTGTGGTTGCTACAGTTGGCAGTTTTGCATAGCTTGAAGAAAGTTTTTCTTCCAATGTATCATGATGATTTTCAGCATAAGCGATTCTTCAAGATATTCCTACTTGCAATTTACATATGAATAAAGTTCAAACAAGTTCATGCCCATCTGCTGATCTTGCAGTGAAACTTTCCATGCCTCTTTTGTTGGGAAGAACTACTTGTACTGGTTACTGGCTGTTACCTGTCATCTGAAAGGTGCACTGAGCAGTTCAGGCTGTGTCATGTAGGTATTTATGTGAAAAGAACTAACCCCTCCAAATTAGATCTACTATAAAGACTGCTTTCCTTCTTTAAAAAGCCACCCAATCCCAGAACTACTGAGCGCTTTCATATACCAAAGAGGCTCAAGTTGCTGTTACATGCAGGGAAACACTTTATGCAGAAATCAATCACAACTTTTATAAAACATTACCTTTAGGCTCAAGTGTGTATCAAAACTTCAGGGCCTTTAAAGAGTTACATTCTTATTAAATGCTGCTGTTTGATTCCAGGAAAGGGAATGGTGAGATGCAACTCATATGATGAACCCTCTGTGTTTACAGCAGGTAGCAAAGCAAGATGCATAGGTTTGGATTTTTTGTGGCATTGTGTTTATCTCTTACACGTTTTTCATAGAATCCTGCATTCCACTTCAAGAATTTTCATTGTGCTTTCATAACTATTATAATTGCTTAAAGTTACTAATTTTGAATTCACAAATGGATTTTTAAATGCACAAGGCACTTTCTTTCCTAAGGTACAATGTTTTCTATATATATGGGTATGCCGATGTGCAGTGATTTTCCTTACTACTGTTTCTGTACTTTCTGTGCTTTAATAGAAACACTTGTAAATATTTTTGTACACCATATAAGCAAAGAGTATGTTTGACATTTTTAAACTTATTAAAAGTGTTAAAATCATTATGTAACGACTCTGAACTGCTTTCAGTTTCTGCGTTTCAAATGGTAGGGGGGTGGAGTGGGGCTCAAATACTTCAGGGTGATTAACAAAGGAAAGCTGTTGCTGGCATTGAACTGTTTGGTGCTATTGGTTATTTAGCCAAGGCGGACTAAAGCTTATGTTCCTGTAACTTACTGGCTGAACAACATCCATTAATTGTAGGTTTTCACTGTTCTTCGCCATATGTTAAATCGCAACACCATTTCCCACTCTATTATGAAAACTGCATGGTCTGGAACAGATCAATCAGCTTCATTTTGTGTAGCAACAGAATAAATTTATTACACTTCTCACCGAAATGGATTTCTAGAGTTCAGGTGTGGTAGGACAAATGTGATGGACCAATTCTGAGAGGCTGAGGAATATCCCAGTGACAGGGTAGGAGTGCATTGTATCAGTTAATCTGTGGGACAGCTGGACAAGGTGGACTGAAATTAATCGCATAGCACCAAAGGAATCCAAACAGTGAAATAGGAGTTCAGGATCTCAGCTGAAGGTGACTACTGCAATGAAGACTACAAGCTATTTTCAAGATCTTTAATTCTGATGTACCTTAGGATTTAGTGTGTAATGATAAAACATTTAAGTTTACGAAAGCTAACAGCAAACCAAGGATAAGATGAGATGTTTCTGAAGTTAATTGAATTCTGCAGGCATGCAGGTTCTGGTGCGTGATGGAGAAAGCAGCTCTGGTTATGGGGTGATGCAGAAAATGAGTCTCATAATCAGGAAGTTGGGTGGTGATGTGTGTGTGCACTGTCAAAATGGAGGGCTGTCTGTTGTCACCTACCCACCCTGTACTGCCTCAGTGCTGTCCTGACCCTTAAGGGAGACCACTAGTGTGGGAAAGGGTGTGATGGTTCCTTGCTGTAGGCTAGGAAAGTGCTGGAGCTCATGGAAGGGATGGGCAGACACAGGGGTGTCCTCTTGGTGGCAGGCAGTGGTTTGGCACCAGTCAAGGCAAATCTGACGGTGGAGGACATGTCAGGAGGCCTTTAGTTGCCATGTTAGATTAAACTGCATCACCGGTACAGCTGCAGCAGCCAGACCCAGCTGTTAATATCAGTATTTCCATGTGGCTGAGCAGGGGAAGAGCAGGGTGGCCTAGAAGGAGGCATTGTGACTTCCAGGGTTGTCCTGTGGGCTCTCTGCCTCTGCTGCCTTGGGAAAGAAGACTCCAGGAAATGCAGGGACTGAGTCACCTGCCAGACTGCCCATGGGTATTCCTGGTAGAGCCATGGACATGGTGGTCCCTGCCCAGGAGCACTGCAGGGCTGCCTGTGCCTGGAGGTTCAACAAGATCAAAGGCCAGGTCCTGCACTTTGGCCACCACAACCCCATGCAGTGCTACGGGCTGGGGACAGAGTGGCTAGAAAGTGGCACAGCAGAAAAGGACCTGGGGGTGCTGGTTGACAGCTGCTGAATATGAGCCAGCAGTGTGCCCAGGTGGCCAAGAAGGCCAGTTGCATCCTGGCCTGTATCAGGAACAGTGTGGCCAACAGGACCAGCGAAGTGATTCTTCCCCTGTACTCGGCACTGGTGAGGCCACAGCTGGAGTACTGTGTCCAGCTCTGGGCCCCTCAGTTCAGGAAGGATATTGAAGTTCGGCAGTGTGTTCAGAGAAGGACAACAGAGCTGGTGAAGTGTCTGGAGCACGAGTCGTATGAGGAGAGGCTGAGGGAGCTGGGGTTGTTCAGCCTGGAGAAGAGGAGGCTCAGGCGAGACCTCAAGGCTCTTTACAATTACCTGAAAGGAGGTTGTAGCCAGGTGGGTGCTGGTCTCTTCTCCCAGGCGACAGGATGAGATGACAGCGTCTTAAGCTGTGCCAGGGGAGATTCAGGTTGGGTATTAGGAAGAATTTCCTCAGAGAAAGGGCGATTAGACATTGGAATGGGCTCCCCAGGGAGGTCATGGAGTCACCGTCCCCGCAGGTGGTTAAGGAAAGACTGGACGTGGCACTTAGTGCCATGGTCTGGTTGACACGGTGATGTTCGGCCCTAGGTTGGACTCGATGACCTCAGAGGGTTTTTCCAACATTTTTTGTGATCCTATGATCCTGCGGATCGACCCGGGCGCGTGTTGATGCCGCAGCCGCCCCCCGTCATCCCCGCCGCCAGGGGGCGCCATCCCGGCCGGCCGCCCCTCCCTGACGCACTTCTTCCTTCGTTAATGACGCCACTGCCGTGCGACGCCGCGCGTCGGCGCCGAGCCTCCCCCGGAAGCGCCGCCCCGCTCCCGGCGTTCCGCCCCGCTCCTGGCCCATCCCGGCCCCGCCGCCGGCAGCAGCGGCAGCGGTAGCGGCAGCAGCAGCAGCAGCAGCGTCATCATCATCATGTTGGAGCCGCCGCCCGCGGAGCCACCGCCCGCGGGCAGGGACGTGCGGGACCGCCTCAGCCTGTGGGACCGCCGCCCGCAGCCCACCGCGCCGCTCAGCGACCGCCAGACCGACTCGGTGCTGGAGCTGAAGGCGGCGGCCGAGAACCTGCCGGTGCCGCCCGAGGTGAGGCGGCGGCGCCGGCCGGCCCGGGGGGATGGCGGGAGGGCGGGAGCGGCCGCGGTGCCACGTCGCCAGGCGGGCGGCGGTGACGGCCCTGCCCGGCCCGACCGGCTGGGCCTGCAGGGCCGCCGCTCCCCGAGGTTCAGGGGCTCAGCAGCGCTTTGCGTTCTGGATTGTCCCGGCAATTGCAATGGCTTCCTCCCTGCCTCCCTCGGAGGGCTTGCTCTTTCTGCTGCCTTCCCGAGACGCCTCGTGCCTACTGCCCGCCCTGGCTTGCAGAGTTTGTAGGCAGCGGTGGCAGCTTTCCCCTGAGCATCCCTGAGCCTGCCCTCGCTGCTTCCCTCACTTCATCGAAGTTTGTCCTCTTGAAATTGAGAGCTTTAGTTGTGGAGCTACGTTCTTTTGGTCCTCTTAGTTTGATCCTCATGAATACATAGCTGCTGGAGCCAGTGTTATTTCCTGGTACGACTTGCAGATGATCCAACGAGGGTGTAAAGCCAGGAATAGTGGTAAAAAGCGTAATAATTTGTCGACACCATAGAGAACACGGTCTCCCGCTCAGTTATAGAATACTGAACTCTGACAAAGTGATTATTTGTGAATACTCCTTTGTCTCAAAGGGAAGTGGAACAGAATGTTTGCATTCCTTAGCTGCACTTTTCATGAGAGGCTTTGTATTTGATACATTTGATACATCATTACAATGTGAGCAGGATCGTAGCACAAGATGCGGTGCCATAAAATCAAGAAAGTTGGCTCTTGGCAAGTGTCAGAAAGCTCAAAATAGCAAGGAGGAGGGAGTGTAAAGCAATTCCATCCAGAAATGCAGCTGTTTGATTTCATTCTTCCTGGTTTCTTTTCTTGTGGAGATATATGCAAAAAGTAAATATTGGCAGGCATCCAAAATGATTGTAGCAGGATATGCTGCTCTCATAGGATGTTCTTAAGGATCTAAACCAGCTTTGCAACAGGGCAGGTACTGTATTTGCCAGTCAGGACAATGGTGATGCCAAGACATTGGACTGGGACAGTGGCATCTCAGATGTTCTGGAAAATCAGGGTCTGATGGACTTGTGTATTTCTCAGTAGTAGACATGAGAGAAACCCTGGCTCCACTGCTAGGGTCCTACCTGTTTTAGAAAGCAGGGAAGAAAGGAAGTTGAACAACATATAGCAATCTGTCATTTCTCAAATAGTTGAAATCCTGATTGTTCTTTCTTTGTTGGACAAATATTGCCAGGCAGTGAATATTTTGCTAAGCAAGTCGTTTTTTAGAGGGATACCAATTTGTATTTTAAGTAGTGTTTTCTGTTTTTACATTACTGATGTTCTCAGCAATTGAAAACATCCAGCTTATCATGTTATTTAAAGAGGCTATTACATTAAATAAGTGTATATAACAATATTTGTCTTCTTGAATTTCTTTCATATAAACTAATTAACAGTCTCTGGTCATAATTAAATACAATTTATCTCAAGTTACTTTTTTTCCCATATTTTTCTCATTTAAACAAAATAATTGTGGCTAAAAAATAATTCCCATTCAGCAGAGCTATTCCTTGTCTTCTGAATGAATTCTGGCAGTGTTAAGTCTTGAATTTTCCTTGAGCAAAAAACTCTGACAATTCCTGTGCTATGGTGTTGACAGGTACCATGGACAATAGGTTTGGTGGG